CCAGCTAGGAACGACGGCCAGCACACCGTGTTTATCACGAGAGTCGCGCGCTGTCCTCCCGACCAATGCCTGCCCGTCGACGCGTCGTGATGGGTACGGCGGTGCACGAGATCGGCGCGTGCTAGGGATCCGCCGGCAGGATAATTATATCCTAGCCTTGCATGAATAGACAATGCATGATAATTATACCGAGTGGGTATGCATGACAAGAACGACAACAGCACATTACAATGCATTACATGATCACAGTGTTACGGCCGCATTGCAGTCAGGTCGTATCCTAGCCTAGGTCCTGACGTTTAGTTGGAGCCCGGCTTTGCGCCGTGTGTATTCTTGAGTGCATTAGACGATGGGATTGGGAAGGCAATGATTCACATAACAGTTAATACTTTTGCCCGTGTCTATAGCATTCCTCCAACCGGGCACGGAATTCTACCATCAGTTGATCATGGAGAGTACTATTTTGCACTAGGATATCTATTCTAGGACTGAGTAGGTCGGAGAGTTCTCCAACATTCCAGGGCATGACACACTGTGGAATATGCCGACCAGTTCGCCGATGATCCTACGTGCGATGCTCTGGCATACTATTTACTAGTATCCTGACATAACAGCCCTCCGTTCTCATTTTCATTTCAGTTCAGCGCCTTTTCGCGTCCAGGCGTGTGTGATCCAGATCGCCACTAACGGCGGCCATACGCTGGCATGTATGCACGCACGCACGGACGCACACTCACACCACCCCGGTCAATACATATCGCGTACAATAATGATACAAGAGCACAGTCAAACAGTGTACAGTGTACGAGTGAGTTGCTTGTGCTCCTTAATTTGGCCTTATGCAAACGATCGCAACCAGGGATCACCCTGATCACTGCCCCGGTACATCCTCAGGGACACTCATTTCGGTGCGGATAATGATGTTGGACAAGGGCACGGCTTAAGACACCGTTCAATACCGACTTCAGTTTCCTGCCAGCGGAAGCATACACAGTTCGCTCACAGGGAAACCAGCGGGTCTGTGAGTCGACGAAAACGGTTTCGTGCCAGGCACGGCCGGCCTCGGCCGCTTAGATCAGAGCGAGTATGGCGGTGGGTCGGTCAGGGGGTCGAGCAGTATGTCAACCGAGAGATTATGGTTGGCTGACCTAGGAAGTGATAGTATACAGGCGATCTTCGTCGGCCTTCGCCTTCCTGCATTTCTTTCCGTCCTTGCTCCCGTCGCCGTTCTTGATCTTTTTTTTCTTTCATGATGGATGAATGCTGTCGTGTTGGTGAGTTCCAGATAATATTAAAACAACATTGTAACTTAATTCGATCACAACATACATCATGTATTTACATCTTCTGCACTTCAGTCCCCGCATCATCCATCGTTTGGTAGGTAGTGGGGTTATGAACTCTTCGTACTACAGTACTACTACTACTACTACTACTGCTTCCGTCACCTTTCCGCCATCACTGTGTCTCACCTCTCACTTCCTTTCGATTTCCTTGCTTTCACGGTTGCTCTTTCACATCAACGGTCATGAACGAGGTCTGATTCACATCACAGCTACCAAGAGTACAGTGTACTATTACTACTACTAGTGCCTGTAACACTACTACAAGTAGAATACAAGTAATTGGAACACATTTCTCAGCCGACAGTTTTGCTTTTTCGTGTCCGAAGATAACTGCATGGCTATGCGGTTTTGTTGTTCTTATTATCAGCCTTTTCGCGTTGACATCGGAGAAGCTTGGCTACTTTGCTTAGGCCCGGCAAATGGAATAAAGAATGAGGAATTAGCAGGGTCAATGAGGTGCTAGTATGCATGCAACTGCAAAATAGGCAACAAAGAAATTAATATCAAAAGAGTCCAGAACAGAACAACAAGGACAATCAAGGCTTGTTTGGCAAGCCTGATGATCCCGAGAGCATGAAACTTGAAGTAGCGGCAAACAAGCCTTGATTGTCCTTGTTGTTCTGTTCTGTATTGCGCTCTGCCTTTGTGGTGTTGAGCACTGTCAGCACACTGGGTACATCCTCCGGGGTATCAAAAGAAAAACTATACTGCGCAAAATTATTCACTCCACAGGACAGTAAAAGTGAAGAAATTCATTGCAGTATGCTCCATATGCATACCTCTAGTGCACCTGCCTAATAACTTTATCCTTGTATGCACCCCAGGTAGCCCTTTCCCAAAGATGCCAAAATATTTCACAACTTATGCTTTTCGCAACCATGCCAAAACAAGCGAAAGTTGCTGATAAAGCATCCATATTTTCAGAAAAAGCTCGAAAGTTGCTTATATCGCAACTCAAAATGAGCGAGTTCTTGTGCATAATATCATAGCAGCTCAGTGCTTACTACAACCATCCACCATGTCCACGGTTGGCAGAGCCAGCTCAAATGGTCGCAAGACTGGGGCTCTGCCAACCGTGGATGGTTGTAGTAAGGTCACTGTTTCCAAACACAGTGGTCATCCGCCTTGGAACATGTTGTTGTTGTTGTTGTTGTTGTTGTTGTTGTTGTTGTTGTTGTTGTTGTTGTTGTTGTTTGAATTCTTTATTCTCACGATGTCACCATCGCCAATAAGAGATTTGTTGTTGTTGTTGTTGTTTTTGTTGTTGTTGTTGTTGTTGTTGTTGTTGTTGTTGTTGTTGTTGTTGTTGTTAAATGTTGTTGTTGTTGTTGTTGTTGACTTTTATTTTACTTCACCAATGGCACAGGCATGATTGCCTTCTCACCGTCCCATACGTCCGGTTCTCACAGAAAGATGAAGGATGCTGTCAACCAACAATGTACATGTACATGTATTATGTACATGTACATGTATTATGTACATTGTTGTATTTTTCTACAAAAAGTAAAGAGGACCAAGGAACTACAAGTTACACTATAATGTCCACTAACACCACCAGTTACTAAACAATCAGCTATACGATAACATTGCATGACCCTGACCGACGGTACTGACGTTCTACAACCAACTGGCTAACAGCTCTAGCACATGACTTTTGTCACATTTTTGTACATGTATAAGTATCATGTACATGTTCTTCGAGAAGTACACTTGTTATGATGATTTGATGCAATTTTCCAGCACTTCTTCTTGAAGCGGAGCATCACGGACACTTCAATGGTCTCCTCCAAGGCGCTTCTCTGCTCACGGTTGCGGAAAGTTGCGAAGTAGTTCGTGAAAATGAAGAAAGTTGCGAAAGTTGCGATCTCTTCCAAAACAACCAAAAGTTGCGAAAAAAGTGGCGAGCATCTTTGGGAAAGGGCTAACCCCAGCACAGCAAACAGCAAAGAAAACACTGCAACGCGCGCATGCGGCAAATTTGCACCGATCCAGGCACGGATACGGGGAACCAACCTTCGAATATCGCTGCAGGAATAGGCATTATGCACTATGGCTTGACATAGGCATATGCGGATAATGCCGGCAGAAAAATTGGCAGGATTCGGTACTTTTTCTGGTAAGTTTCATGCATGTTTGGTATGTGAATAAAGAAATGGAGCAGAATTCGAGGAATTGCCCGCCATAAGGTTTGTATGGTTCTGCCAATTTCACTGCTTTTCGAGAAGAATCTGCCAACTTTTCGAGCATTATCCGCACACCCCTAGCTTGACATGCCGATTCAGAAAATGTATACTTTTATATGATTGTCAAATTATTTGAAAGACCTGCACAGGAAACTGCGCGGAATGCGGAAGAATGGCTAAAAGTCACAAAAAAGTCACTGAAAAAATACACACAATCATACCACGACACGGAAAGAGTATGTCATCACCAGGACTAGGTAAATACCTCTCAAGCCTGTCCTCCTCTATAAGATACTCATTCTTGCTCGCCTCCTCCAACTCTCTGATATCATTTTGGAGTCTCCATCTCCAATGCAAGTGGTGTACATCACGCTGCGCTTCTCCATTGACCATTTCCAAACATCACTTGCTGCTTCACACTCCATGCCGGGTGCAGATGCTTTCATGTTTATCTTGCACAAGTGCTGCTCTTTCCACTTGCCGCATTCTTACTGACAAGGAATAGCATGCGTTCGTGATTAAAGGGGAAGTTAAGGCAAAAATTAAAATTTCACCAGTTGTAGTCTTCGGGGTGCTGAGTCGAATGGTCTTGGTCCGAGGAAGCTGAGACGCTCCCTTCCTACTTGAATCCCAATCGAACTCGCGCACTTCCACCGAAACTGGGTGACTGCGCCCTACGAGATGGGGATTTGTATGCAAAATGTCACTAAAAGCGCCATTTCGTTCTTATAAAAGCACGGATGACCGCGATTGGCCCATATGTTGTAGTCTTTTGGACGCTGAGTCGACTGGTTTTGGTCCGAAAAGGCTGCGATGCAGCGTTCCTCCTTTATTCCCAATCGAACATGGTTGAACAAGTGGTCACGTGCTCCTGGGTGCCCAAATCACCTGGTCACCACGCCAGCAGGTGACAACTTTCACACCAAGGTTCAACTCGAGTGACAGGACTGCACCCAAAAAAGGTCAAACAGGCTAGTAAGTTGTACCCTGCAGGCACGGTGACCAGGTGACTGGCGTACGCAGGAGCACGTGACCGCTTGTTCAACCATGTTCCATTGGGAATAAAGGCGGAACGCTGCATCGCAGCCTTTTCGGACCAAAACCAGTCGACTCAGCGTCCAAAAGACTACAACATATGGGCCAATCGCGGTCATCCGTGCTTTTATAAGAACGAAATGGCGCTTTTAGTGACATTTTGCATACAAATCCCCATCTCGTAGGGCGCAGTCACCCAGTTTCGGTGGAAGTGCGCGAGTTCGATTGGGATTCAAGTAGGAAGGGAGCGTCTCAGCTTCCTCGGACCAAGACCATTCGACTCAGCACCCCGAAGACTACAACTGGTGAAATTTTAATTTGTGCCTTAACTTCCCCTTTAATTACATGCATGCATTACCTCAACCCCTCAAGGACCAGGTGACCAATGGGGTAGCTTCGCTTTTTTAACGTTTTAGACTTTTAGCTCCGATCCAGGTCTCAAAATAATTTAATGCACATATAAAATAAGATTACAAAGGTTGCCCCAGCGTGTCTGCTGAGGGTGCTCGGGTACTGAGAAGGCAGAGCGTAGCACTCCGGCCATCGTCAGTTGTACTGTATGCAACAGCAGTACATGTACAAATGATTGGCGAATCGTTTGGGGCAAGATGTACCACGAAAGCCACTGGTGCATATATTGCATATAGTGGCGCATGGCCATGTTCCAGCAGGGCAGAAACGCCCGGGTAGCGAGGGGGGGGGGGGTAGCAGGGGCAGGACGCTTTGTGCGGCGTGTGTGTGGGGGGGGGGGCATAGGAGGATTGCTGTGGGAGTTGAATCTCAGATGAGGCAAAATGTTCAACATTTTTGCGTCACGTTAACATTTCTGATTGCAAAATAACGTTACTACTATGCTATTCCTGCTCTTCTCTACATTATGAAAAAGATGGGTGTGTGATGGCAGGGTCATTATTAGCTTTGGGCCTGCTAGGTGCATGTGAAACTTTGCAAATAATTAAACTCTCTAACTTTCACCTTTTATGGTCATGATTCGGTTTGATAAAAATGTTCAAATTCGTCTACTCAAGGGGTTCTGGGTTAGATAGTTCTGGCTTCTCAAAGGCAAATACATTGTAGCTGGTATCATAAATATCCAGAATTCGTTTCTGCATGGTTGTATTCAGCTGGTGGTAATACGAGAGCACACGGCTACGCGGCGAGGTGTGGTAGTACGTCTGCCGGCCCGGATACGCGACTCTGCCGCCGGCTTTCGCCTGCCGCAGGACATAATTAGACTCATCGGTCAGCTGCTCGTAGTGGCCAATAAAGTCATAGTCGACTAGGCACGGTTGGCACAGGTCCTCGTACGGTGCCCAGTGCTCATTGTACATGTAGCGCTTCGTGTCCGCCACGTAATTGACAAACTCTGGAAACGTCACGTCGTTGCCGCGCGTCTCCTTTTCTTCGGCCAACGACAGCGGCGGCTTACGGTACTTCTTCACGATGTACGTGCCGTAGTGTTTGTGAAATCCCTTGTCCTGGCCGTTTGGATGGAACTTGTCCAAGTAAGCCGAGACCAGGCGGTCGAGCGGGTCGCGCACGAACATGAACTTGTAGTAGGTCTTAAGACGGTGGAGTCTCTCCTCTTTGCTGTACGTGGAAAGCGGCACAACGTCACGTATGAAGCTAAATGGGTAGCAGCCTGGCCAGGCATCACGTTCGGACAGCACTTTCAGCACCTTCTTCCAATTGGTACAGCCGATCTTGGGCACGTAACAGTAGATCACTTTGTAGTTGTCGTTCACGAGCAAGTGCTGGAAGACGCTCTTTCTCTGCGTCTGCGTCAGCCTCGTGTCGGAGCCAGTTATTTTTGGGCTCTCGCAAACCTCATCCAGGCGTTCTTGTCTCCGCTTCTGTTCATCCTGCATGTATGGACGAGAGGAAAACAAAGGAAATCCCACGCTGCTTCTTTCCAGTAAAGTCAGGTAAATGTTGAAGCGCAGTCTTTTGCTATTTCAGGCGAGGTCTTCCCACTATGGGGATTTTCTTGACGCCTTTGTGCATCTTTTTTCTTCAAAAGCTGCTCACGTATGCCCGCCTACTCCATGGACAGAAACTTACGGACTAAACTTGGTTTTATCATTACAAAAGGCCGAAAGGTTTTGTCACTTGTTGTGGTGTTCAAGCTAGTGCCGTGGTTTGCTAACACCCTCTCTCTTTGTATTGGCCGGTGTTCTCACTGTGCTATGAAATGCTGTAATAAATAAATAAATAAATATTAAAAGTACTCGGTATCCGTTCACACATACATTTGACATACTCTTGGCAAGTATTGTACAGTCCAAGCACATACACTGTATTATACTGAGTGCTTCTGAAGGGTAGGGGGGGGGGGGGGGACAGTCCCATTCCAACGATCTGTCTTATGAGACCGGGCATTGCAGGACCCATACCATATCACCGCATACATTTCTGAACCTGTGTTGAGTGTTGAGAGGCCACCGGCCAATGACTCTGAGGACACTTCTACCACCTGCCACTGAGGACACTTCTACCGCCTGCCAATGAGGACACTTCTACCACCTGCCAATGAGGACACTTCTACCACCTGCCAATGAGGACACTTCTACCACCTGCCAATGAGGATACTTCTGCCACCTGCCAATGAGGACACTTGTCTGCAAAGACCGGTATTGTGTGCACCCTGGCCGGACTGGTCACATAACACAGGTTACACTGTACAGTAGCACACCGGCTGTAGTAAGTAGGTAGCACAGTGATTCACTTGTGTGCAGTCACTGGTGGATGAAGAATACGGGGATAAAACGTAACTCAGGACCGGTTTTATGAATATATTTACCAGACATTTCTTTAGGTACGCACGCCGCGCCTCTCCAGCCACCTCATTATATGAAAAACCTTCCTCACACCACTCTCAAATCAAGTGGTCTCAGTTTGCTGCAAATTACTAACATCTCAATCAAATGTTTGGCCAGGAGCCATCCAGACCACTTGATTTGAGAATGGTGCATGTAGGGTTGTTCATATTACAATATTACAACACAACACATAGTCGGTGTAGTCTTACAGCTATATTGGCGTCTTTGCTGTCGTCGTGAAAGTTGGGTACGATGTTGACATACGCCCGACGCAGCCGGTTGGCCTCCCAGTGTTTGCACGGTGCAAAACTCATATTGGGAAGTCTCATCAGCTCCAAGATCCTTTCCTCTGTGAATTCGGGGTCGCCTGAACAGTGGTACGGGAAGTGAAGTGTACCGACACACAGACAAACACACATACAGTGTACATTGTATTCCGCAAAAGCTTGATTTTTCATACAGGTCCAGATGGACATAAAGACACTCAGATGAGACAATCGTAGATAGGTGTACTGAAGACTGACAGACGGACAGACAGAGAGACAAACAGACAGACATACAGACAGACAGACATAGAGACAGACAGACATAGAGACAGGCAGACAGACATAGAGACAGACAGACTTAGAGACAGACAGACAGACAGACAGACATACAGACAGACAGACATAGAGACAGACAGACAGGCAGACAAACAGACAGACAGACAGACAGACAGACAGACAGACAGACAGACAGACAGACATAGAGACAGACAAACATAGAGACAGACAGACAGAGAGACGAACAGACAGCCAGACAACCAGGCATGGAGACAGACAGATAGTCAAACAGGCATATTGACAAGGAGGCGCAGGTGCGGAATGAGAGGAGGAATTTGCTCGCAATACAAAGCAGATGCACAGTGTAATACAGCATGCAGTGCCTATTTACTTTAGAACTCAGGCACGGTAGCACTCAGGCTCACTTGCATGGGCACTGGGGAAGTTGATCACGAATGGGGTCATGCTACTCAAGGCTAGGGTAAAACACCGCGACTTGTTCCAATTTATAGTGTGGTCATCCAATTTGTAGTGTGGTCGCAAGCAACTTAAGCATAGCGTTTTGAAAGCCACGGCTTAGCTGACACATGTCTCTGAGCATTTCAGGTATAAATTCCCCGTTGAGGAGGCTATGCCCAAGCCAACGCATAAGCCAAATGTAACCCACTAGACGGCATACAGTGAAGGATGCAAAAGAGAATGACCAGGTTGATTTCACGGATCTACATTTCAGTGTACATGTAATACTGAACTAATTATGCACATTGTTGTGAAAGTCCTGGCTCTTTATCTACTTGTGGTTCCATCCCCAGTATACATGTGCGTCGTGTGGCATCTGTTTCACCACATTACTATGAGTACGGCACAGAGCGGACACCCGAGTCTTCAGCAGACCCTTCCTGGTGTCAGAAACCGCCAGGTAATTGACTGTCAGGAAAAAGTAATTTACTTTTTGACTATACATGTAGTTTTATATGTACATGACTACATTGTAGTTTGAGGGAAATAAAAGACACAAACGGGAAAAGTCTGAAGAAAAAATTGACTGTCACCACCAGGACTCGAGCCAGGGACCCTCGCTTGTAGCTAGCGATGCTCTAACCACTGAGCTATGGTGTAGTCATCCCAGCAGATGTGTACATGAGTAGCAACAGTACTTGTATATAATTGTTGTCTTTTTGCTTTGCTTATAGCTTTCAATGTGACCACCGGTACATGTATAAAGTAGCTACCTGACTGCAGCTGTCCCATAAGCTTGTCAACTGCGAGCGTTCTTTTCTTTGGTCTCCTGCTCGTCTCGCCATTGTCTACGGAGAACAGAAGAGGGTCGTCCATGAGCCTCGGCTGACCTGGGGCGAAGGAGGGTAGACAAACAAATGTTGAGCGATTCTGAGACATCACCCGGTGCCGACTGGATATTTGCTGTCGACACACCAGATTTGCTGGAATAAACAAACTCGGACTTTTGGATTTTCTATCAATGCACTCAAAATTCGAGCACTTTTGCACCCCAAATACTGATTAAAAGGTTTGCAATTTGAATATCTAATCCCTAGCTTTACTTTGCGCTGCAACTCATATACATGTACAGTGCTGCTCAATGAAATCCAGCCGCATCACCCAAGTTTGCACCTTGCATCCGATGATTCCGCAGCCCAGTGTTTGCATGTCTAGGGCTGCACAGCACCCGGGGCGCGTACTTGGGTGATGCGACTGGATTTCATCGAGCAGATCCCTCCCCCACCTCCCCCCCCCCCTCGCTGCTCTCTCTCTCTACCGGGTTATTATATTCACGGGGTTGGATTTCACGTATCACCATTGTCCATAGTAATTATTTCAATTCTACTATAAAAGCCATATATATATATAACGAAGTGCTAACTCTAACAAGTTAACGAGGAGAAATCTGTCGTTAAAATAGAAATCGTTCTACAGAAATCGATACATATACTGTCCTATTGAGCGTTGAGAATGAGTGAGAATCGTTACCTTTGGTACACGTAAACCAGTCAATTTTGGGAAATCGTTACATATGCGCCTCGTTAGAATAATGGCTTTCACAGTATATGGACACTGCGCATGTCGAAGATGTGTGTGGTAACGTTACTTTAGACTTCAAAGAAATGCCAGTACAAAAGAACAGATGGCTGCAGCCCCACACCCTTTACATTATGGCAGGGGAAACCCTCTTGTAAGTCACACTAGCATTGTGTCACTGAAAAGTGGGTATCAATTGGGACAGCCGGAGGCAGTTTTTGGTTGGTCCGGTAGTATCTCTGAACATGGCCTTTCCTGCTTTGTGTATGATATGGCAGGTGCACATGCCCTCCTCAGCAGTAGACATGACTTGTGTTGATGGTCAAACACGTTGGTCCGGTGGTAACCTGACCAACCGGACCAGTTTTGACGGGTATGTTAATTAATGGTATTGATAGTGGGTGGCACTGGATGCATGTGATGCCCTGAGCAGCCACGGTGCTCTAATCCCGCATACTGCACTCAGTGAGAACTGAGGTAACGATTATCACTCATTCTCCACATTCATGGCTGAGCAGGGAGTGGTATTTTAGTACTCCCTGGTCCATGGTGCTGAGCAGGGAGTGGTATTTTAGTACTCCCTAGTGCTGAGTACGAGTGAACTGTTTTCTTCGCCATGCATGTTCAGGTGTTAAGGAAAACTGTGTGGCAAGGCTCCCCGGTGCACCTTTGCAGTTTACTCTAAAAGCCTTATAATTATATAACGAAGCGCCAAATCTAACAAGTTAATTGACGAGGAGAGATCTGTCGTTAAAATAGAAAATGTTACACAGAAATCGATACTTATACTGTTGGTGCTGAATGTGGAGAATGAGTGATAATCGTTACCTTTGGTCCACGTAGCCCTGTCAATTTTAGGAAATCGTTATATTTGCGGCTCGTTAGAATAATGGCTTTTACAGTATTGTGACTACATTTCCCGGAGCGCTGGCATCCAATACTTGAGGTACCCGCAAGTATGAACATGCTGAATGTTCACAACACACAGTGAAGCTTCAGTACAAAGTACCCCGGATATTACTGGGGCGGCGGCCACGCTATGGTCACTACGGTATTGACCGTACCACCTTTTGGCCCAATTAACCACCTTTTGGCCCAATTAACCACCTTTTGGCCCAATCACCCATTGAACCAACAAAATGCACCCATGTGGGCTCTGAATTTCCAAAATATTCGTCTCAGCCACCCTTCCCTCACGCGTAAATTGTATTTCACATGGCTGACCGTACCACACTAAATTACCTTCCGATGCCCCTGTAAATACATACTTTTCTCTTGCATTGGATATAAAGATTTTTTCTGAAGGCACTGCATATCCTTTTCCAGATATTTGAGCTTGGATAAAAAGTAGCTGGGATAAAAAGTACTGATTTTGCGTCATGGCTTGGAGGTACTATGTACGTTATACTGAAGTTTCTACGTGCATGTAGCCTGATTTAATATGGTGAAGAACATGAACCTCGGAGTTGCAACCAAGTAGCCTCCTCTCTCCTCCCCCCCCCCCCTCTCTCTCTCTCTCTCTCTCTCTCTAATGTGTACTAGTATTTGTGCACAGCGTAGACTACCCATCTATTTGGCTTACCCATGAAGTGGCTTGACAGCGATCCCTTCCAGAAGAATGGCAGGAGACCGAACAGCGCAGCCAATACGACAACACCAGCGGCACAGGCCCGTCTTCGTGGAGACTGTGTGGCAAAGCCAAGGCGCATCCTGCAGGTGTAGGTGACAAGCCCGCTACGCAGGGAGCAAGGCTCCTGAGCACCTGTTTTCCAATAAGGCTGATGTGTCGTGCAACGATGATGGCTGTTGGTAATGTCGGAGCGAGACACCTACGCTACAGAATAGCTTGTCGTCACCAGGCCAGTATGGAAATGCAACATTCAACTCCACCCTTGCGGCTTCGTTCCGGCCACACACTGCAGGCATGGAAAACTCGCCACCACCATGAGGTCGTCGGGCGGTAATATTTGAAGGAGCCGGACCTCGACGAGCGCTGTTTCAGTGTTTGTTCGGACGTAGATCTACGCAGATGTTAGTCTCTGCACAGGCCTGCGATTTGCTGCGCGTGTGTCGATCACTTCAGATTACGGTAGTGCAGGATCAACAACAGAGCACTTGTTCGCACACTTTGATCCGCTCAAGACAAGGTCACCGTTACTTGTTTGAGTCTTTGGGCCCGCTTGGCACTTCAGTCGGAGTAGGGGGTGACCAAAACATACTGTAGCACGGGTCCAAACTCTTCTCAGCGCCTCGACATTGGATCATCCCGTGATCCAAGCTGCAAGCGCCACCCGCCGGTACTGCGGTAAAGCCATATATGGAGTACGGTATGGTAAACATAACGTTTTCAGTTTTTACCCTCGTCCGATCCGCACAGCTAGTACAGCGAAGTCCTTAGAACGTAAAGTGGTTAGCGAAGAGATGGCTATGCTCACCTGGAAAGTAGACCACTTGATACATCCGAGTTCCAAACTATGAGTATGACTATGAGTCTATTCGAGTAAAAGCATCCGCATGGACCATCATACTTGTAAGTTGTAGTGATACTTTGCATCACGTCGAGTAGCAGAAATCCATGGTGGCACGAGATGTAGAGATATGGAGAAAGGCCGGCGTGATCATGGACACTTGGACTTTGAGGGTACTACTACTACATGTAGCAGTAGTGTTACTACTTCGCGTGCTGATAGATCTTCAGGGTACGAATGTGAAGATCGCAACATGGAATCCAGCTACAGTACCTAACTAGCGCTCTTACTTTCCTCGGTTCTGATACAAGACTGACCTTGCTAGCGCTGCCGGTTATGGCGCTCGGAAGTGAAAAGGCTGTACTGGGACCGCATGTGGGCCTGGGTCGGTGGCTCGCCTGATACCGCTGCGGCTCAGCACCGCCACTGCCAGACGCATCGCTTGCTGCTGCACAGAACACCTGTTCCGTGCTTCTTTCCCCTCGCGACACACGTGGTGGATGCATTGTCTCGCTGGGCATGGGGTGCGGAGTGGAAGATTAGGCTTGAGCCGTCCAAACACACAAGCCATTATCCCCCCCCCCCACCAACGCACATCATCGCCAGCCTTGGCAGCTCCCAGGAACAACTTTCTACATCACGCCATGCGCCCGGTAGTGAAAAAGCCACCTGAGGATCCGGGGGGCATCTTTCATTCCAAACTGACATCCCCCACTATAATTATTATTCAATCAAAAAGAGAGGACCAAGCGTTCACATAAACCTATCCGTTGTTTGTCCGACACTAACAATAATTATTATAATCAAGATACTGAAGCAGGATACTGGTGATTTAAAACGCGCAACAATTAGCAGGTTCTAATGTATGAAATAACGCAGGAAGGAGGAAGGTTGTCATTGATAACATTCTCAGTTCACTGTGCTGTTTTAATAACTTGTTTTCCTCTCCAGTGCGCTCACCTGCCCCGTTCCAACGTCATTTCATAACGTAGAAATGAACTTTTCTAAGTTGGAAGGCTGTGGGTATTACGCTCCTCGACATTCGTCTTGTTGAGCACTCTCGGTAGGCTGCTCTAGTTATGCTGCATTGCATTGCTCGCTACGTTTTGTAGTCAGAGCACTCGGGCGCTAGAGCGACGAGTTATTTTAATGTCAGTGGTGCCTCCTTTGCACCATGGCTGGAAGCTCGGCTTACTTAAAAACTCGCAGCTGTACTTATGAGGCGGGTATATGGACGAAATAGCTTTCCGTCTACAGCATTGTGTAGTATCTTGCCTATGATTGTTAGTAAGAAAGTGGTGGACATCACGCAACTGCATCATAAATAAAAGGGGGGTTGTCAATGTTAGTTGTCAATGTCAGTTGACAAACCCCCCTTTTTTATGATTGTTAGTGTTGGACAAACAACGATCAGATGACGTATCACCTTTCATTGGTCCTTTCTTTCTAATTTTACCTTGGCTCTCCATCCGAGCGTATTCAATCAATCCGCTCCAGAGCCCATCAACGTCTAAACTTCCTGCGGAAGGCCTCTATTGTTCTATCCCAATGGCCAGCTCCAAGCCTACATTGGGTTCGTCCGACCTGTGCTAGAATACTATCTTCTGGTTTGACTTGGTGCGCCACTTTCGCACTTGGCCTAGCTAGACCAGATAAAGCGACGATCCATAAACATCATCCGATCGGGCTCTTGGTTCTCCAGTCTCTCTCTCTCTCTCTCTCTCTCTCTCTCTCTTCTATCTCTCTCTCTCTCTCTGTCTCTCTGTCTCTCTCTCTCTCTCTCTCTCTCTCTCTCTCTCTCTCTCTCTCTCTCTCTCTCTCTCTCTCTCTCTCTCTCTCTCTCTCTCTCTCTCTCTCTCTCTCTCTCTCTGTGTCTCTCACTCTCCGTCTCGCTCTCTCTCTCTCTCTCTCTCTCTCTCTCTCTCTCTCTCTCTCTCTCTCTCTCTCTCTCTCTCCCGCTCTCTCTCTCTCCCGCTCTCTCTTTCTCTCTCTCTCTCTCTCTCTCTCTCTCTCTCTCTCTCTCTCTCTCTTTCTCTCTCTCTCTCTCTCTCTCTCTCTCTCTCTCTCTCATTATTGTATCCCCGGTCCTCGTCCAGCTAGCTGATGATATCTTCGGGGATCTGAACATCAAAGTAGCCACATCCGCCCGTTTCCTAGGAGGCTGTATCAGTGAACCTGACGGAATGAAATCGTTTGTACAGGGGAGAGTGGAGACGTGGGTGAGCAGTGTCAATTGCCTTGCCGCTGCTGCCAGGAAATATCCCCAGTCCGCGTATTGTGCGTTGAATCGATCTCTATCATGTGAGTGGTCATACCTTCAGCGTGTTCTCCAGGGTCTTGAAGAGGAGTTCGCTCCGCTTCGAGACGTCATCCTGGAGCAATTTGCCCCAGCCATCCTTGGGTGGGAGGTTCTTCCTCGGGAACACCAGCTCCTCACCTTGCCTGTCAAGTATGGTGGCTTGGCTTTGGCCGATCCTGTCCACTCAGCACCCCAGGCTTACCAGAACTCAAGAAGCGCAACTGACATCCTGCGCAACTCCATCCAATCTGGTAACCCCGTAAACATAATTAATGATCACAGCGCTCACTGCCGTCGCATCGCAAGCCAAATCAACAGGGAACGATGCTGATTTGGCGCTTCTTGTTGAAGCGGAGCATCACGAACATTTCAATGATCTCCTCCATACCTTTCTCTGCTCACGTTCCGGAAAAGTTGCGAAGTAGTTTGTGGAAATGAAGAAAGTTGCGTTGCGAAAGTTGCGATTTCTTCCAAAACAGCCAAAAGTCGCGAAAAAAGTGGCGAGCATCTTTGGGGAAAGGGCTAGCCGGAGGGTGATCGGACGGGGCAGCCTGCTCTTCGGGCAGATTGGCTTGCCCGGGGTGTGTGGGAGGATAACAGGGTGGCGTTTTTTGATAACCGCATCATTGATGCCAACGCACCCAGTTACTCCCATTCATCCTGGGAAGCTACTTCCAACCGCGCTGCCAACGCGAAGAAAAAGAAGTACCGTCTGGCCTCCGAGGACCTCCGTCGGTCTTTCACACCACTGGTGTGTTCCACGGATGCAGTGCTGCATCGTGAATACGCCAGCTATCAGAAGCGACTTGCTGGTCGCCTCGCCCTCAAGTGGGACAAGCCCTTTTCAATCATCATATCGTGGGTGCGAATTCGTACCCAATTTGCAGCGTTCCATGCAATCAACCTCCGGTTACGCGGGTCCAGAAGGCGCCTGACAGGCCTGTCGACGCAGGATGGTGCTGGGGTAGGCATCGGCCATTGAGAACTGAATTTCGTCTGTTATACGTGGGATTTCTTGGAGTTTTCCAACGTGTTGTACTGGAATAATATTCTATTTTACGTTTTCATGGTATCTCTATTTTCACATCTACATAACTTCATCGCGATAATTATCGTGCCCGTAAAAGAGGCCGTTACCCCGAAAAAAACTCGCTCTTCGTACTTTCGTACTCACCTTCTAGTCTTTACTGCTACCAAGAGAGTACCTATTTGTAGTACCTCCCGGGATCAGTATTTCCACTTGAAATAATATTCACCAAAATGCCTCATTCTTAGCATTCTTTAAATTATTCGCTTCCATGTAATTGGGCGTATTGCCCGTTTGGTATTGCGAATTCAAAAATAAAACAACAACAACAACAACAACAACAACAACAACAACAACAACAACAACAACAACAACAACAACAACAACAACAACAACAACAACAACAACAACAACAACAACAACAGCAACAACAACAACAACAACAACAACAACAACAACAGAGTACAATCAGTCATACATGTAACCCCCAAGCGTTATGTACTCTTGCTGCTACCGTGCCAGGCACTGACTGCCCTTGCCTTCCCCCTGGAGCGGACTATTGCAACGAAGAGCAGCACCGAACGGATGTCTTCAACAGCGTCTCTCCCGACCTGCAGCGGTGCATGGGGCTTGCGGCGGAGAAGGGCGCATCCAACTGGCTAACCTACCGGCCTTTGGCACGGTTTGGCTTTGCGCTCTCCAAGGCCGAGTTCCGGGATGCCCTCTGTCTGCGCTATGGCTGGCAGCCCAACAATCTCCCCACCAAGTGTATGTGCGGGCAGCAGTTCACAGTCACCCATGCTCTGTCTTGCCCCAACGGCGGCTTTCCCAGCATTCGGCACAACGAGATCAGGGATGTGTTTGCAGAGTGTTTGGTGAAAATCGCTCATGCAGTGGAGATCGAGCCACATCTAGAGCCCCTTAGTGGAGAGCACCTTCAGCCACGCACCGCGGTGAGAGGCGACCAAGCTCGATTGGATGTGGTGGCAAATGGCGTGTACGGCGGTCGTTTTGAGCGTTCATTTTGGATGTAAGGGTTTTCAACCCCTATGCTCGCTCCAATTCATCGTCGTCCATTGCCTCTGACTACCGCAAACACGAGCAGGAGAAGCGCCGCTTATACGAAGCACGTGTGCGAGAGGTGGAATGTGCCTCCTTCATCCCTGTCATCTACGCTACATCTGGTGGAGCAGGTGGAAGTGCTAATGCTTTGGTGAAGACGATCGCAAGTCTCATGGCAGAGTTGCAGCCCTACGCACAACTTATGGCTTGGCTGAGGTCGAAGATCAGCGTCTCTCTCGTCAGAGCCTCTATCCTATGCCTGCGCGGTTCAAGACG